AATCACTGTGAATTTTTTGATTTTTAAATAAGATTTATTCCATTTTCTAATGAGAAAACAGTGTATATTCTTTTAAAATTAGAATAGGATAAGCGCCACGTAGGAAAAGAAAATTTCATCACTTTCAAATAACCAGTTACTCTCATTTTAGTGTATGTATTTCTACAGTTTCTAAACAATTATAAATTTTTGGCCATTGTGATCATAGTATATCACATGGTATATACAGTTTTACAAGCTATTCTGTTAACCTAATAAGCTATTGTGGCTTTTTCTTTATATAATTTAACATTCTTGAAAAAACATTTATAATTGTCCAAGAAATGAATGTATGATATTATTTACTCTTTCAGTTTTCTATCATTTGCCAGTTAGGTTGTTTTTAATTTTTGGCTAATATGAAGAATGCTATAAACAACATATTGACATATAAATCTATATTGATTTTCTGATTATTTTCTTCCAATAAATTCCTAGAAGGATTGCTAAGTCAAATTATAAAAATATGCTTAAGAAGTTTGGTAATTATCATGAGATTTTATTCTAGAAACATTTCAGGAGTTTTTGCTCTCACAAGCAGTGAATGAAGATTCCCACCCACCTGTTATGTTCAAGGTACCAACAACACTTATTGCAGTAATTTAGAAACACGTATTTGCAAGTTTGACAGAAGAAAAATGTTATATACATTTTGATTTATGTGCCTTCAATTACTTGTAGAGATGATTTTGATTTTTTTCTTATTAAATCATAGCTGTGTACATTAATGCAATCATGGGGTACAGTGTGGTGTTTTCATATACATTTTGAAATACTCTCATCAAACTGGTTAATGTAGCCTTCATGTCATTCTCTTAGTTATTGAGTCAAGACATTCATACTCTACTTTTAGAACGATTCACTTGTACCTTTGTAGGATAAACCATAGAAGTGACGCCACCAATCACCCTCCCTCCACCCATCCACCTCCCTCCCCTCCTCTTCCCCTCCCCCCTCCCCATATTCTAAGGCTATAATTAGGTTATAACGTTCCTATGAAAGCTATAAATTAGTTTCAAAATAGGGCTGTGTACATTGGATACTTTTTCTTCCATTCTTGAGATACTTTGCTAAGAAGAACATTTTCATGTTCCATCCATGTAAACATGAAGTAGGTAAAGTCTCCATCTTTCTTTAGGGCTGCATAATATTCCATGGTGTACATATATACCACAACTTATTAATCCATTCGTGGGTTGATGGGCACTTGGACTTCTTCTATGACCTAGCAATTATGAATTGGGCTGCAATAAACATTCTGATACAAATATCTTTGTTGTAATATGATTTTTGGTCTTCTAGATATATACCTAATAAAGGAATTGCAGGATCAAATGGCAGGTCCATTTTTAGTTCTCTAAGTGTTCTCCAGATGTCTTTCCAAAAAGATGATTTTGATTTGTTCTGTGTTAACCTTTATTAATTATCTCTGAATTCCCTGTTACGTCCTTTGCTATTTTGCTATTAGATACATATTTCATATTGATAAGATTTTCTTTTTTTGAAAAATACTAACTTTATCAGAGTTATTGTATAAAATTTCCAATCTGCCACTGTGTTAGTGACATTTTTTAATGCAGTCTTTTTTTTTTTGTCCTTCAGTAAAATTTTCTATTTTTAAATACGGGTCTCACATTTTTAAATAATTATTGTATCTAGTTGTTTTTGTTGCTGGGATAGATTTTCCCCTGCTACATTTTCTAAATGCCTATTTTTTGGTGAACAGAAAAAGTATCGATGTTTTTAAATTAATTTTGCAGTTGATCCCTTTATTAAGTCCTTTCATTTTTTTTATTGATTTCTCATTTGATTCATTTAAGCTTTCTAAGAATAAAATCATATTTAGTTCACATGATAATGATTTTGCCTACTTCTTTTAGAAGAACAATTTCTCTTATTCTGATTTTATGTTTTATTGCATTGGTTATAATCACAAATATAAATATTCTTAACAGAGGAAAAAGAAGGAAACAATATTTTGCCTCCATAAAAGATGAAAAGGAATTATTTTATTTTTCTTTTCCATGCCAACCTCCTTTTTTAGTTACATTTTCATTTTTATTTCATTTTTTTCTCTACAACGACTTATTTTTTAAAATTTAATTCATTTATTTTTTGATCATTTTTCTAGGAATTGTATCATGTTCTGGTTATCTTAATGCTTAATATTAGTCATTTTATATTATGACTTTTCCATAGTTAAAAAATTTGATCTTTTTTCTTTTTTCCAGCAGAAAGGGGGTCTCTTTATGTTGCTCAGGCACTGCTGAATTCTTGGCCTCAAGTGATCTTCCTGTCCCAGGCTCCTAAAGTGCTAAAATTATAGGCATGAGCCACCGCACTCAGCCTGAGCCACTGCCATTGGCCCATTTCTTAACCTGAAATATATGTGGGTAATATGCCTTCAGAGTTTTGTGTTCAGAAGGATATAAGTTGTTTCTTTTAATCACAAATAATAACATGGCTGATTATAGAACTCTTATGTTAAAAACTTTTTCTCTAAAAACTTCATGGATTTTGCTCCATTTTCTTTGGTATTCAGTGTACTAGAAAACAAAGTCCAAAGATAACTGAATTTTCTCCTGTGTTTGAAATCTATAGTTTTCACCCTGTTATACATATTTAAATGTTAGTGATTTTTTTTTCCATGAACTTTGCCTTATCCTAGGTTAGCCTATTCTATCTGAAGACAAAATTCTTTCTTTAGGATAGGAAAGTTTTCTTTCTTTCTTTTTCTTTTTTTTAAATCTCTCCTCTTTCTTTTCTAAGAGTTTTATTGTTTCAGCTCTAACACTTCGGTCTCTGATCCATTAATATTTAATTTTCTATAATGTGTAAAGTAAGGATCTAACCTCATTCTTTTGCAGGTAGATATTCCGTTCCCAACACAATTTGTTGAAAAGACTGTCCTTTTCCTATTGGACGGTCTTGGTACATTTGTAGAAAAAATTTTTTTTAAAGTTTTCTTCTATTTTGAGATAATTTTATGCTTAAGTTTACTTTGTTCTGCATTATTCTCCTTTAACACCTGTACTGTGTCGGTTTAATATCTGATGTCTTGACATTCTAGATATTTAACTTTTCTCTCCTGTAAGTTTTATCTCTAGTCCTTTATCTATGTCTTATGAAATTTTCTCGATCTAGTTCTCCCCAACACTGCTTTGATTTTCTCTAATGGAGTCTTTTACTTTCTTACTTTTTCTCTTCTTCTCATTCAGCTCTCTTCATCCCAACTTGAAACTTATTTCTTCTCTTACTAGCTGTGCAGCCTTGGTATTGATATGTAATCTCTCTGTTCTCTATTTTTCTTATCAACAAAAGGAGGATCATTCTTTCCATAGGATGAAATTAGATTGTCCTTGAAAATTTTTAGGAAAAGTCCCTAGAACATAGAAATGTGTCAGTACATTTTAGCTGCTATTACTGTTATCAGCAAAAGCATCTCTCTTATATCCCAGCAGTGCTTTTCTCCTTGAAGTGGTTGTTACCTCATTTCTCTGTGTGTGTATATTTATGGAAGTCATATTGTATTGAATCTGGGGGGAACACAACACGATACTCTCTTAATATGTACTCCTGCTGTAAATCTTTTTCAAAATCTTCACCTTAAGTACAATCTACCCTTTTTTATGTTGTAGAATATTTTCATGAAGCCTCGTGTTGTTACGATAGTTAATTTTTCTATTTATACTTTCTTATACAAGGAGGAAGAGATCGTTTGATAAAAGGATAGGTTAATGCTCTTTGGTCACCCTTAGTGACTACGTGGCAAGCGTCAGACTTCTTCCTTGATCTTATTTGTGAGGATTGGTTAGCATGCATGCTATTTAATCAAATGGCTGCTGACTAGTGCTTCTTAGCAGGAGTGTGGCTGCATTTAAGATGTCTTTTACTGCTCTTCTCTACACTAAGGAGGGCAAGATATTCTTGGATGATTTCAACTATTATTCAATTCAATTCATTTGTCCTTTACTCAAAATGATGGGGGGAATACTGTACTCTTTGAGTTGCATTGACCCATCATTCTTATCTCCTTTTCTATGACTGATTGATTTTCTAGATGTTGGGTGTTACCATGTGCCCCATCTACTCCCCCTAGTGGTGCACTGTTGTCAGATGTAGCCCTAAATAGATCTGTTAACCTGTAATAATGGTTGACATGGGGGACTGTTGTGGAACCCTCTCCTACATTTTTGGGGAACAGGCTGCTGGCTCTCTGACAGGTGAAAGTCTTCCAGGTAAAAGTGTAGAAGCTCTCACTTTCTTCCTTATTCCTTTTGTTATTTTGTCTTAAATCCTTATTCACATTTTAACAGAATTGCCCCCAGGGGTCTGGCAGCATGTTGACTAATCTTTCTAGTACTGTTGACACTTTGTACATATGTTTTTATGAATATTTCAAGGAAAATTGAGAGAAGTTGAATAAGGCCCCTCGGGATAGTTTTAAAATTTATCAAGAAGCAAAAGAGACTTTATAACCATAGAATCATATATCCAAAGAGTTCTTAAACTAAAACTCTCATTTTATAGTTGAAGAGATTCTCATAATAAAGTTGCCTGACTTGTCTGAGGTCACACAGAGTCTGAGTCTGTTCATGTTTCATCATTCTAGTTTCTTGGTCATTAAAAAAGCAATTATTTTAGCTATTCTGAGAAGTCTGGATTCTCAGTCAAGGGTTTGTCATGTTTAGGGATGTCCTAAATAGCGAGAAGCCTTCTCACATGAAAAAATACAGAAGTATGAGGAACATTCCACTGAAGATGCCGAAGTTCCTTATTGTTTAAGAGCTTTAAGGAATGTTTGTATGTCTTTCTTCCCATCCCTCTGTGCCTATTTCTAACAATTATAGGCGAGTGGATACTCAACTAGGATAAGAACGCTTTTAAAAGAGTTGGTTCTTTAATACTTAATTACATTGTGACGTTCCATATTCTTATGTGGCTGTCTCCTGGTGCTCCAGCTGCTGGATAACTGCTCCTCTCGTCTCAAAATGGCCCACCCAGCCAGAGCACTGTACACCCCAGATGGAGAGCCCATTCAGTCATGGGATGACATAGAGCGAGACATGGTCGTCTGTGCATCCATGCGGCATGGCTTTACAACCCAAAAAGGTATGGGTGACAGCTTCTTTTTCTATCGGGTTTTTAAACAATTAAAGCACTTTTTTTTCAAAGAGCTTATATCCCATCATGATGATTTTTAATGATTATTAAATTATTATTATAATTATTAACATCTTCTACCCTGGAACCCTATTGTTAACATTCTTTGCTCTATCAAATTTCACTTAGTCTTGAACCTTACCTAGGGGAGATGTATTTGCAGAAATACTCACTCAAAGGTATTTCCTTTGACCCCCTGAGGAAAATGAGGCTCCATTGATATCCTACTTTTCAAGTTATTTAAAACTTAATGTTTTATTAATAGTAGTTACATAGTTTCAAATTTTTTTCTTTATTGGTAAGTAAACATATGCTAGTTTGATTATCTTGTCTACTCTTTGATCATTTTCTTCGATAAATGTCAGAAACTAAAAGGAACATCTATTTGTTATTGAATGAACTCTTGTCCTTAATTTTATTTATCCTGAGGAATTTGAAACCCTTTTCTGTAGGTAGGTATACATTAACAAAGACAGTTTTCAGGAAATTGCAAAGAACATTGTTATCACTTTAAAGGAAATTGAAAGTTTAGTAAGGGAATTACCTGGCATTCCCATAATAATAACACCAGATTTTTTTCCTTTAAAATGACATCATAAAATTATTACTACTATGCTAATATAAGGTAGGTAAACCCAAAACTTTTAAAACAGTTGCAATCATACCTTTATATTTAACCCATGAGGGATAAAAGTACAAAAATGAAGACTAAAACATAGGGAGACAAGCATGTATTGGGAAGCGTAGCGCCATTTGAGGGATGCCACAAATATTCCTCCAGCACCATCCTCCATCATGGATGAGGCTCCAATGGGTGTGTCCCATCACCCACAATTATCGGTTACCCTAGCTCTTGGTGACCTCCAGTATGTGGTTGCTGAGAAGAACACACCAATAATAGGTTCTTAGCATCAGTAAGTGTTATTTGACAGCCTTCTGTGTCCCCAAAGTGCATTACCTATAAAAGAAAAATAAACCAGACTTCCTTTCCTGAATGAATTTTTCAATCTAATTAAGAATATGAACACACTTAAAATGATGACAGTGCAGTTGAATTGAGAGAACGCTCAGTAGGGCGTCCTTCCCCAGTCCATTCATCATTAGTGCCTACTCTTTCATATTCTTGGAGGCCTTTGTTGCCTGTCCCCTACCTCCTACCACATTGTGATCATGGAGCCTATCTGATAAGTAAAGGTAAACATGCTTCAGGAAACCCACCCACAAGGGTATCTAAACCACAGAGAGGGATGGAGGCTGCCTTCCTGGAAGGAAGCCTATCACCAATAAGAACTGATGGGAAAAGAAAAAAATTGAAAATGTAAATTTTCAATTAAAAATGTAAAATGTACTCTTTCTACAATTTTCTACCATGTTAGAAACTTTGACCTAACTGGGTAGAGAAACATTTATTATTATTCTATAAACACATGGATTACTATGATGAAATCAAAGTTCATTCTTTTCCTATGAAATTAGGTTCCTCACATTATCTTCCTGCTGAAAGGATTAGTGGTTTTCTCTAACTGTCTGAATTCTGTTCAGTGAGTGATACATGTTTTAGGAAATCTGATTGTGGTGAATCTGATTTGGTTTTTCTTTAGGAGCTGATTTTACTATTGCCATATTGTTGGGGGTTTTGAAATAATCTAGAAATAATCATTTAGTAAAAATCTAAACATTCAAAATGTTTTTTAAAAAGATGGAAATGCAACTACATGTATATACCCATTAAGGGACATTTAATTTATTAATTATTCTACTCAAGATATTTCTGTGACCTGTTTGCTTAAATATGTAGTAAGAAAATAAGGCAGCCTGGAAGTTTCAAAACTAAACATTCTATAATATCTTCTTTTGTGTTCTATAACATCAAGAACATTTAGTAAATGGAAGTTAGTCATCAAAGAGTTACATGGGTTTTTGATAAATGAACATGATTTGTCAAAACAAATGCGATTCAATTAGAATGGTTTCTTTCACACAAACCCCAACAAATCAAGAGTCTTTTATGATATTCACCATAAAATCTGAACACTGTTCTTACTGCTGTGCTTTCTATCTTTTTGGTGGGTTCAATTTTTATACCACTTCCAGGTCAGGTTCCAATTCAAAAGGTACAAAGAACCTGAAAGGAAACCTTCTCTAGCAACTTCTGTTCTCCAGAAATCCAAAGAAAATTAACACATATCTGATGTGAGAAGCAAGTCAAGTGTATAATGAAGGTCCAGGGTGGGAGCCAAGGATTTCTGAGGGATCTGCAAGTTTATAATCACTGTGACTTTTACTTATTTTCTATAAATATATGGACTTACCTCTCAATATATATATGTTTTTAACAGAGTTAAAGTACCTGCTGCAGGTCAGAGCAAATTATGCCAGAATCCGAAGGCAGCAGGGCCCTCAAGCCACTGACATTGTGGTGTCGCCATCCACAAAACTGCTATCTCTGGTACGTCTCCACAATTAACTCCTGTCAGAATCCGAGTTTCGTGCTGTGTTTCGCTGGTATAGATATATGTACATATGCTTATGCTTGTTAGGACATGTTGATTATTTACTCCTTTTATTTTCATGCTGTCTTTTTTAAAGGTGGTTACCTTTTCCATAAAGTGGCATTTTATGCCTCAAATCTGTTTCTGGAACATCAATAAAACTAGACATAATACTTCCAGTGAAATAATTATCTTTCAGTATATTTTCTTCCGGGAGGAAAATGGAAACTACTATACGTAGAGAAAAATGGAAACTATTGTGTATATGTAAAAAATATTTCATAGGACAGTAAACTTTTTGACCACTTAACACTGAATTTGCCCCAATTTGACATTTTCTGGCTTGACCACCATATCTTTTAAACCTTCATCTTAAAATCCTACATTTACAAATGTGAAAATTCTTGTGAATTCTTCGCTATTGTATGAATACACCTGAAGCAAAAATTGGTAATATCACATAACACTGTACCAGGCATCAGGAGACATAAGGCAAAAGTCTTAACTGAACTGAAATGGCTGGTGGCCACCTAATGCCACATGACTTTGCCTTCAGTTTCACTCATAGGAGCAGAGCAGGACCCTCTGTGGGACAGTTAGATGTTGATGAGAGTGAAGATGAGTAATTCCTGCCATACGGTCAGAAATCAAAAATAGTAGACTAAGCCCTTAGTGCAAAAACTTCTGGAAAGGATCTATGATTATGAAAAATCATGTAAGGATTATTTTTTAAAATGGATTGAGAGAGATCCTTCCTTAGTGTCTTAGGTATCAATCCTACAGCAAGGGGAGAATTTACCTGCTGATTTCTTCCCCAGAAGAAGAAAGAATCATTTTCAAAACATCTCAGTAACAAATGAGAGTTTGGTTCTGGTGGAAAAATTCCAGCAATATGCTCTTCCTCCCTCTCTTCCTCTGAAAGCCTCACACTGCTCTGGCTGAATATAAATTGCAACCTGGCTAGGTGTGTACAGAACCGCTCAGCTGCGCTGACTGCTCAATCCTCCACTTGAGTGTGACACAGGAAGGCTGTATATCATTTCTACTGAAGGAGGCTCTTGGTAATCACTGCAAAAGGCCTGGTATTTACTCTTAGTCTGAAAATCAGGATGGCTGCATGAATAAATTCCTCCTGCCTCCAACACCACTAAAAGCAAAGCACCTTGAGATGAAATTTCACGTGTTACATCAATAGCAGTTTGCCCTTTTCCAGCCAGTTTCTTTGTGTGTAACAACCATATTGGAGATGTGAATATGTTCCAAAGTGGCTTTGTGCCACACAGGAGGAAAAGATTGCATGTGACTTCCATTTTACTTTTTTTCCTTTAACAAGAAAGTCAAAACACGAAGGACTAGGGAACTTGGTGCCAGTTGGAAAGTGAGCCTACAACACCACTCTTACCAGTTGGGCCTCTCTGTACAATGACTTAATGGCAATCCCTATAAGGACAACTTTTTTTTTTTTTTCAAAATTTCTTGAGAACAAAGGCATTTCTCTACATGCCAAAGTATGTATCATTTTGCTGCCAGGAAAAAGTTGATTTGCTATGAAAATGGCATAATTTCACCCTGGATCAAATGTGCAAATTCTTGTGAAGTCTTCACTGTTGTATGTGAATACGCCTGAAGCGAAAATTGGTACTATCTCACAACACTGTATCAAGCATCAGGAGACATAAGGCAAAAGTCTTAAGTGAACTTTTCTATTACCAGTAAATGGGATTTTAGATGTAATGTAACAGTCATCAACACATCACATTTCATCAGAAAGGCAACGGCACATACTTAGTGAACAACAGGCTTGCCCAGGGTATCTCAGTAGTTCATAGTCATTTCAACTTAGACTGAGAACAGGCCTGCTCTTTCCTTATTATTGACCTTCCTCTTCGACTGGCTGAAAGGTGGACTGGGGAGCAGTTTCTCCACCTTTAGCAAAGACTATAGGATAAACCATTGTGATTCTGTGCAGCCATCCTAGGCTTTTAATAAACCAAGTAATTTCCTTTGGGGGCATGATTATCAAATTTGAATCAGCCTCATATATGTAAGTCAGATTTCAATATTTTTCTATTGACTGAAAACCATTTATTATTAAATACTAAAGCACCTAGCTCCAAGTCCATGGCCTTCTCCAGAAATTTATTTCCTGCTGGTTCACAAACACCCTTGAGGCGATCCAGATGTTAATCAACAATGCACCGGCATTTGTGATTGTCCTCGGGAGGACTGGAGTTTTCTGCCCACCTCCAGCTCTTTTTCCCTGATTAAGTGTTAGGGTGATATTGTGTGTTTCTAAGCAAGGTAACTAAAAGCAATATGCCTGAAAGTTTAGCTAACTTTTTGAGATTAACTGGTAGTACTGATAAAGTGTTTTATGTGGGCGTGTACATCAGTTCTGTAAAACAGGACACATTAGTAATAGTTTAAAATTCTAAGGTAGCTTTAAGGTGTGATAACCCTGATTTTTCAGTTTTTTCTTCATCAGAGAAATTAAATATTGTTTTGTTAAGAAGACAAAGCAACAATCAAACAAACAACAACAAAAAGATAAATCTGTTCTCTTTCACTGGAGAATCACTTGAAAATTGTGGCCAATGGCTGTTGGGGCTTTTGTGAACTAACCTTGAATAGTCACCCAGGTGTGCTGAGTGTCATTGAGAGATTTGTGATTCACTGTGGCAGCAATTTTTGTCTGGCATCATTTGGAAGGGAATGATCAAAACACACAAGTCTGTATTATTCTAGATCATCACAAAATCAAATGCAAATGTCCTCAGTTAAGTGAAATTTACACCCAGTGGTGATTCTCAGCTGCTTTTATTAAACTCATGGCTCCAAGTTCCTCCTGGCTCAGCACACATCTTACCCGCCCCCACCGCCCACCCCAGATTGGATAAGCAAAAAGAAAACTACAGTTTTGTTCTCAACATGCTGAACTAGAATTGCGCATAAATGGCATGGTTTAGGGCCGTGTGACCCTAAGCAACTGAAAAGTAAGAACTATAAGACCACTCAGGCAAAAGCTGCCGAAAGTAAACGGACTGATCTCATAACCGTGATATTCAGTCGGTGCCTAAGATTTGGTTAAATCCCTGTTTTCATTTCCACCACTCTTTACCCTCTTTCTTCCCTTCTTCCTCCCTGCCATTTGGCCTTTTCTCCTCTCAGAGCCTTTAAATCACAGCTTTCATTAAAAATAAAAAGTCCTTCCTGGAACAATTTGTGGATTGGCAAGGGATGCTTCCTAATATGATTCTCAAATTTTAGTGTGCACAAGAGATGCCTGGGGAGCTTGGGAAAGTACAGATTTCCAGGCTTGACCGCAGCGATCGTCATAATCTGTATTCTAGAGGTTACTTAGGGAATCTGCATTGTTAACACGTACCTGGAAAGAAGCATGGTGGTTGCTTGCCATTTCAGAAACGTGGCTGGAAGTTTTAGTTCTGTCAGGCACAGCATTGTTTTCTATCAGAGGGGCACGACCCCAGCCGTAAATTCAAGAACTCTGCCTGTGCTTTACCCTTGCTTGCGTTCAAGAACTATGAACACAACAAAGCATTTGCTGCACGCGTGAGGGTTTGAATCTAAGTGTCCTCACGCTTTCTCCCTATTTCCTTAAGAAATGATGGGAATGTTTTAGAGTTAGGACTAACCACCAAGGACCCACATGTTAGAAGACTAAACAAGTGAGTTGGAGCTGCTGACGCTTCCCGTGTTAATTAAGCAGGCTTCAGTAGTAATAAAATCTTGCTTTTTAAAAGGTCACAGGAATAATGTTAGTGCTATGGTACATACATCAAGGAGCAATTCTGACGATGGAGAAAATGACCAGTTTCTTGGAGTTTTCTTATAAACTGTGGTGCACAAAGCGGGAGACCTTTGGAACAAGGGCAGGATTCCTACTTTCCACATTTGCACTTTCTCTAACAAAGGAGCCGCTTACTAGGAGGCAGCCTAACCCTCTCGGTTCTCTTTGCCCTGCATCTGGTTAATGTGGATGTCCAACCCACCTGCAACGCTGGCAGGCCCATCGAAGAGTGGGAAAATCCACAAGATATTATTCCAGTTCAGTAACAAGTATTCTTAGAAAAATTAATTTTCAACATAGGTCTCTTGCCCTGCAAATGAAATCCGTATAGGTTGAGAGACAGATACTTTCCTTAGAAGACAGAAATAAAAAGAAATTAGCTTTTCAAAGACCTATTTTATGTACATAGCCCTGTTCTAGCTGTCTGTCTCTCTCTCTGTCTCTGTCTCTCTCTAGATGCTGGGCATGCAAATGTGAATGTGACAGATGTGATCCCTATCCCGGTGGAGCTCATGCTATCGGTTAGGGGAGGGCACTCAGAAGTTAAGCAAGCACATAAAATAATCATGCAATTATTTTATGCAAGACATAAAATAATTATAAATTGTATCAAGCCCTATGAAAGGAACCAACTGAGTTAGAGAATAACTGGAGGGAAGACGGACTCACATACTTACTGCATGGTGTGCTTAAAGGTTTCCATAAAGAAGTAACATTTAAGCTAAAAGACAAGAATGAGTCAGCCATTCAAAATGAATAAAGCAGGGTGAGAGTAGTGGCAGGGAACAGAGACCCAGGCAAGATGACAATCAGGAAAGAGCTGGGTGATCAAGGTACTGAGGGAAGGTCTAAAGTAGCCCTGTCTAATGGCACAGTGGCTCACGCCTATAATCCCGGAATTTGGGGAGGCCCAGGAGGAAGGATCACTTGGGGCTAGGAGTTTGAGACCAACAAAACAACTAGACCCTAGTTGCTACAAAAAAAAAGAAAGAAAGAAGGCAGGGAGGGAAGGAGGGAGGGAGGGAGGGGAAGGGAGGGAGGCAGGAAAGAAAGAAAAGAAAAGATCACTAATAGAAATACCATAGGAGCCACCTAAGTAAGTAATTTGAAATTTTCTAGTAGCTATATTTATAGAAAAGTAAAAAGAAATGTGTGATATACGTTTTA